TTATCCTCTACATAGCACTGGGGGGAGATGTGTTGTGGAATACTCGGAAGATCATTGATGTAGATACTGAAAAGGATTGGACCCAAAACGCACTCCAGAAGTCATGAAGAGTTGGTCTCAGATAGCACTATAAATTTTAACAACTTGGTAATGTGACTGGAGATAGCTGTGACATCACTTGATAGCAGGAGGTGACAATCGCATATCATGAAGCTTGGTTATAAGTATTTAATGATCAATGCTATCAAATGCTTTACTCATGTCAAGGAGTACAGGAGCGGTTAGCTGTTACTTATCTATGGCGTCAAGGATAGTGTCAGTTGTTTGTATGATGGATGTCTCAGTTGAGTTCAACTCCTTATTGGCGCACTGTTTAGCTGTCAAACATTGGTTGGCTGTTAGGTAGGAAATTAGCTGGTCATGAGCGACTCTCACAAATCTTTGAAAGGACAGGCAACAATGCAATAGGTCTGCAATTGTTAGGAATTTCTCGATTGCCATCTTTCAAAATTGGTGTCACTTCTGCAATTTTCCACGTGGGTCGAGCGAAAAGTGGTGTTAATGATCGATGTAATTGAAGGTGACATGGCAGGAAGGCAGTTTTTAATAACATGGAGTGAGATTTTATCTATTCCAAGGGACTTATTAGCTGCCATGGGTTTGACAATCTTTCCCACTTGCTTGATATTCACATAAGTATAAAAAAAGAATTGTTCAGAAACTGAATTGTATTCTTACCTGCAATGTTAACAAAGAAATTATTTAATTTGTTGACCACGATATTTGTCTTATGAGAAGGATATCTGGGAAGCAGATTTTTGGGCATGCAACTGTGTTTTGCTTTCCACATGGTATTGTTGTTGTTTCTGTTATCTTTAATTGTTATGCCAAAAGTTTCTTTTTGGCCAAGCCAATTTTCGGTTTTACCTCTTGGCAGAGGCTCCTGTAGCTAGACCAAGCCATTGGTTTGTTCAAACATACGCTGCCAGGCATCTCGTTGCCATAAGATGGCGAAGCTCATCAGTAATTTAGGAATTTGGTTGTAGACACAGGCTGATAGTTTTTAAAGGTGCATGTTCATCAAGTATTTCATTAAACAAAAAATTAAATGTTTGAAGTTGATCAGCGGGATCATCAAAGGTTCCTAGAACTGACCAAGGTGTATTCCCGCGTTCAGGGCCAATGACTAATATGTCCCAAATTAATTTATCTGTTATGGTTCCTAACTTACAAGATGACAGAAGCTTTTGAGGGCAAGTGACATAGCTGTCAATTGATTCTCTGTTGTTTTGCTGAGACAAATTAAAAGCATACCGTTCAGAAATGATGAGTTGTGCCTTGAAATAGTTGTCCAAGGCAGTCATGCATGCTTGCACATTATTTTTGTGCTCTTAGGAGATTTTGATATTCAGAACAGTTTGAATTTGAAGGTAGTCTCTTCCCATGACAGATTGCAACAATGCTAATTGTGTTTTAGAACTTTATTTGTCCAGACCAGTTGCTATTTCATTATCTTTTCAATTTGAAGGAACATGTGGGTGCAGAACAGTAGCTGCGGTTCCTGGTGTGCTTGGTCCAGTTGTGGTACAGCTTTGTATTCATAGTGTAACGTGTGTTCTGAAACTCAGTTCACCCTCTGGCAATTTCTCCAGGGAGAGTAACAACAGTTTTTCAAGGGAGAATTTCTTGTTGGTGAAGAGGTTTTAATGTTAGTCTTTACAACTTATTTCCAACGAAAATTAAGTTTTTCTTCTGCCACTTAAAGTAAACATGTATGAACAAAAGGACATGTATTCACTGACAACTCATTTTAATGCCAAATATACATGACATTATGCGAGTCAAAAATAGTTTTTCACAACAATTAAATTCAGGCAATTTCTCTTGGTCATAACAATGTAGATTACTTTCTGATGAGGTATCTAGGTGTATTTCTTTAGAGGGTGAACTGTAGATTTGGCTGTAATACCATAAAATTCCGAAAATAAGCCCCTCCATGTATAAACCCCTCCAAATATAAGCCCCCCAAACCGGTAACGCAAAAAACCCTTCGTTAAATCGCCCCTCCAAATATAAGCCCCCCGGGGGCTTGTACTTGGAAAATTGCCCTCAAATACAAAGTAAAACAAAGCAAAAATGGTAAATTTACTTCCAACTATAAGGCTAGCCCAATCGATTTTGAAACACAAATTTCCCTCTGTAGATAAGCCCCTCCAAAAATAAGCCCCTCAAAAAGGGCCTTTGAAAAATATAAGCCCCGGGGCTTATTTTCGGAATTTTACGGTATTTTCTTAATGTTTCAAATTTGTTTCTTGATTGATCATTGAATTGCAAAGAAACAAATGTGCATTGTCGCAAAATACTAATACAAAACATGCAGTCAATATACATCATTAAAAGTACATGAATTAACAAAGGGAACAAATAGAATAAAAAATTCATTTGTTTAAGAAGCTTTTTGTGAAGTGGTCAGAATGAAGGGATGAAGGGATGGTCTTCTATGAAATATGTAAACATCCGAGCTCTGATGTCGCAAACGCAACATGATGGTTCTGAACGATGGTTCTTGGGCATGTTTGGCACTTACGTTTTTCCTGTGCTGGCCCTGGGTTCACAAAAATTAACTGGTAACTGGATGAGTTGAAATGTAGATTCCAAGTCCAGATAGCATTTTACCCATGCTCTGTGGTGAACTTTGGCATTCGCCAATCCAACATGCTAGAACCTGCTCTATGTGACGGACACACAGTGATCAAAAATTGGTCTTTCGTGAAGTTCATGTGCAGTTATTTCTTTCTGGGTGTTTCTTGAGTTCTCTCTGTTTGCTGCAGGTGACCGTATCCTCCAAGAAGCGAGAGACGGGTAAATAAAATAAGAAAATTGTCAAGCTCTTCTGGCTGTGACCACTTGCCATTACCGCAACCTGTTCTCTCTTTGTCCTTTCTTTGATTGTTAACACTTTTGTCTGCCAGTTTGCCTCATCACTGTCTGTCTTCAACTGACATTAAACAGTTTTTTTGAAGTGCAAAGTGAGGTGATGGTAATGGTGATAAAGTGGTGATGTTGAAACAACGAAAACTACAACGTAGAGGTCATAGAAGGAAGATGATGTTTGTTGCCTTTGTGGTTCAAGGTAACATAAGCTGTATGTGAAAATTTGCACTCATTTTAGCAGCTCAAGGCTTTTAATATGTCATCCATTCTATCAATATTTTTTTACCGGAATGAATTTCAAACTTAAAGACAACTGCGTGAACTGTAAAATTAAAAGGATTTTGTCTGTTTTGAATTACTCATTTAACAGCAATTCTTCACTTTGTTGTGATGTGAAATCTTTAAAATAGTGAGATGGAATTTTGTGTATACGAAAATTTATATAAAGCCATTGTTTGTAAAATGCTGTTAACAAAGACACATTACCCTGTTTAGTGGGGTTCTGACAGTTACGCACTTTGATTGTGGTGATGTACTTATCTCATTTCGATAGGCATATCCATTGATCAGGCGCTTCCCCAATTCTAATCAAAAATGAGCCTGCGGACGGGTTCCCTGGTGGTTCCTCAGTTGATGTTCGCACTCTAAAATATACGTGTTGCAAGCAGCAACATTGAACGCAAACCAAAAGATGTACCTATACCACTTTTGCAACTGCCGACTGACTGTATAGGAAGATTGAAGTTGATCTGTTGTTCAACGCCACCCATATTTTTCATGTTAAGGTCCGAGGTATGTGGCTTTTCAATTTGGACATTTCGTCCATTTTGTAGCCTGTGTACAGCCGCCCCTCCCCTCAAAAAGATCGGAAAGGAGTGTCTGTGATTTACCGTTGATAATCATGTTCAGAAATAATGTTGCATACATTATTAAAAGTGATTTACGCTGACCAAAAATTCCGAGGCTCACATTTCTGTAGAGGTAGATTCCAATATGGCAGTCGATGCGGGAGAGTTCCATCGTGCATTAGAGAGTGTTTGCGACATTTTTAAACTTCCTTCGCTTTACAGCGAGCAAGAAAAGTGCTTAGAAGCACTTCTTAAAGGAAAAGACGTATATGCAAGTCTTCCAACCGGTTACGGAAAGTCCTTGATCTTCTATGCAACTCTGATCGTCGCCGATGAGCTGTTCTCATGACCACGTGGAAGCAGCAAAATAATTGTTTTCCACCTCTAAGAACGCTAATGGAAGACCAAGTAGCATATTTGCGGTCTTTAGGATTATCAGCAATTGCTCTTCACGATGAGCAATCGGAAGAACGACTGAAGGAAGTGGAAAAAGGAGCGTTCACTTACTTATTTGCATCACGGGAGAAAATGTTGAGCGTGGAACGATGGCGCAAGCTTCTTTTATCTGAACACTATCGGAAGTTTCTGGTGGCGATAACTGTCGATGAAGCCCATTATATAAGCCAGTGGGGTCTTCCTGGATCTTCCTCAAAGCGCACAGCTGTCCCTTTCCGAATTTGGTATGGAAACCTGGGGGAACTCAAGTCACTAACTGTAAGTAATGTTCCTTCTATCATTCTGACGGCCACCGCTTCACTATCAACTAAAAGAGACATTTTCAGGGCTTTGAATTTAAACCAGTCCTCTTCCTTCATCATGGAACACAGTCCAGAAAGGCCCAATGTGCAATTCAGTGTGCGTTATTTGGATAAAAACTTGCCTGTTTCTTCAATATTTAGTACTTTAATAGATGAGCTTAGAAGTAAAAACGTGTCCTGTGAAAGAACAATGATTTTCTGCCAAACTCGCAAGCAGTGCGCTTTGGTGTACTCAGCATTTAAAGAAAACCTTGGCGTTGATTTTTATGTTAATAAACACCTTGACAGTAAGAAGAGAATGGTGGAAATGTTTCATGCTGGAACACCCGAGGCTGTGAAAAAGCACATTCTTTGTAACATGTCTCAACCCAATGGCCACATTCGAATAGTAGCCTGTACTGTTGCATTTGGAATGGGGGTTGATTGCAAAGAAGTTCACCGTGTCATACATTTTGGCCCTTCTAAAAACCTTGAATGTTATGTCCAAGAATGTGGAAGGGCTGGTAGAGATGGACAGCCAAGTTCATGCCTTTTGCTGCACAATGGGCTACTTGATGCACATTGCATGCATGACATCAAGGATTTTGTTGCTAATAGTACTGACTGTAGGCGTACTTATCTATACAGTCATTTTCCAGGGAAATTTACTTCTTCTGTGTCAGGTCACCAGTGCTGTGACATATGTGCTAAAGCATGTGGATGTCAACAAGAAATTTGCAAGGAACCTGCTATACTAGTTCTGGATGCTACCGAAGATGAAAACCTTTCTTCTGAATCTGTTCGTTCAGTTGAAGAAAATGACAAGGTACACCTCAGGACTGAACTGTTCAACTACATGAAAAACCTGCTTCATCAAAATTCTTCAGGGGCTGTAGCTTCTGTAAATATGATGCATAAATTCACCCCACTGCAAATCAAGCAAGTTCTGGATACTTGTGACAAAATTAAGACACTACAACATGTAGAAACTTTTGTTGAAGTTTGGAGAAGAGAACACAGCCGAGCAATTTTAAGTGCAATTCACCAGGTCTTTGGTGATGTGCACAGCCGTGAATTGGAGGCACCAGAGAGTGAAGACGAGGACATAGAGGAATTTGCACAAGAATGGGCAGACATCAGAGATGACTCTGAACTGTGTCAGCTGTTAAGTGAAAGTGACTTGCTTAATGTAGATGTTCATATGGAAGACATTGATCAGTCAGGTAATGAGGAAGTAAACATGAGCAGTGTGATTGCCAATCTTTTTAAACAGCAAATAACTGTAAACATCATTAGAGACCAAGGGGCACCTAATTGCAAATTTTTGTATTAAGTTTTTTAAAAGGAAGGGGTCATGTCTGCTTCAAATGTTACTAACTGCCCCAAGTAATTGCACAAGTACAATCCAATTCATGTTATCTTTGAAACAATAACATCCCATGCTAGTGTTGCCTCTGAGTCTCTGAGGATGAATAGCAATTGCCTCATTAACTTAGACTATCTTTGGGATGGTTAACATCTGTCCATGACATTTTTATCTTCTCCTGATTGGTTTTAGAAGCTTTTCCTGTACAATTACATTTATAAATGTAATAAATTATCATCTTTCGTGTACCTTGTAAGTGACGGAGGCAAAATGTCTTCAATATTAAGTGCTCATGTCGCTTAATAGAAATGCTAAGAAGCCAATCTATAAAGCCTCATAGGCATCTTTCAGTTATTTGTAAAAAGCCAAAATTTTAAGCAAGAGTCTCATTCATACATACATTGAAAAAATAAATTTCATCAAGTGATTATCTTCTATGAAGCAGGTCTTCTGTTGTGGTTCCTACTCAGTTAGATTAATTACAAAGGTGATGTCAGTGAAATAAAAAGCCCTCTTTATTAAAACTCTTATAACAGTTCATGGAAAATACTAAGAAAAGTTAAGAAAAATAAACAGGAAACAATCACATGGAACTTAGAAATTGATCTGAGGTTGCAATGAGGGATTTCATTTGTGTACAATTTACTATAAATGCTGGTGTGAAACTTTTCATCACTACCTATCTGACCAGTTTCAGTACTTTTTCGATCAAATGTGTCCAAATTTGATCTGTAATTTCACTCTTGAAGGTTACATATGAATTTAAATACTGGATTGACCTTTCTGTCCTAAAACATCATTCTAGCGTGCTCTTCTTTCTCTGACAATGTTTTTCTTGTGTTTTGTTATCCACCTGAACATGTCTTGAAGATCAAAGTCTAACAGGAGGGTGGAATTAATACCATTAGAGTGTTCATAGGCACGCCCTGGTGTCCAACAGAAAGCCCTCTGAGTGATGAGCTCTGTATCAATCTTGTGTAGGTCAGACACCACAGAGAGTTCATGGTGGTGTCCAGAACGGCGGATGACACAACACTCTTGATCAAAGTTGTCAAGCAGGGGGGGCTGGCAGCGAGGTCTGGAAACGAGTTTACATGATCGCCCCAGTTAAGAAATTTGGCCAAGTGAGACTGAGCACCAATTTTCCTTCAAAACAAATATGGCGGAGAATGCGGACATGGAAAGATGATGAGTTTTTGTTCGGTTTTACGTTTTATGGCGTCCAAACATCAAGAAAAGGTTTTCATGAACTTTTGTCATGACATTTTTGGACATCAGGATGATGTATGAACAGTCCATGAGTGACTTCGCTCATCGTGATTGGGCACCTTGGCAAGTTCAGTTATTTATAAGCTTCGTGAATTTTCGAGCGACCAGCCTCAGGGCAGCCTGCTCCATCTCTTATATATTTTTTCACGTACGGTGGTATTAAGAACTCTCTGCCTTATCCTAAACATATGCTACGAGCTCATTATATTAGTATGAGTCTTGCAACAGTTATATGGGAATGTTCATTAAACCAATTTTGTACTTCGCTGTTCGTAAGTTTGTTTGTACACCGGGAGCCACAACAACTATTTGTGGGCGTAAATACAGAATACAGGGCTAATTTAGTAAAAGCCAGGTTAAATCTTCCAATCACTTTGCTTCACATATACTGGGTCTGTCAGTATAAGCTATTTTTAATATCAAAAGGCTGCAGGGAAGGGCTTACTGAATCTTTAAAATCTTTACTGGAATATCGTTTGAGTGATAATAAATAGCTCCAACAGCAATACTGTCTTTAGTAGTTTTATATTAGATAGTGACTTCGGTTTTAAGTACTTCCTTGAAATTGTTTGTACAAAAATTACCCCATAGTTTTGAATTATACTTGAATCCGAGTGTGGGGACAAGAGGTTAAGCCAGTTGCTAATAAGAGTGAGTACATCAGAGAGGGGTATGCTCAGTATACATGAGAAAATCCCTCAAAGGACTGAAGTACAAGAAACAGAAAAAAGAAAATTGAATGTTTTACAAAGTTTATAAAGAGAATCAGAAGGACCTTGAAAAATGTACAACTTCAATTGTTTGTGTAAGTTATGAATCTGATTTACAAGTACAATAAACAAGGTAAAATTGACTTTTTATCAACCATCAAAAGAAGTTATTGTCCCTTGAGCCCAATCCCCTCAGCAGTTCTTTCTACATACTACCCTTGGCTTATTTGGCCTAGATGGGTATGTGCTGCTGATTTAGGGTGGTGACCATTTCGCCCTTTATTTTGAACAGGGTGTCTGTTTGGGCTGTGAAGGTTGATGAAGAGCAGTCTGTAGTTAAATTTTTGGTACCACCAATTTTTTCCCCAAGTTTTTCCATCTTTCTAAGTTCTAAAGCTAACTTAATTCTGTATGCTGTGAAGTGAATCAGGGTTATAAAATCAGGTCTCTTGGCATAAAAAGGGTGGGGGAAATGAACAATGTGTCCTACTACCCACACTCTCTTTCAGTGCAAGCCCAGGGAGGTGATCTCACATTTTAATACCCTTTTACCACTTGTTTTAACAGCAAAGTCAGTGAAGGTCTGTGGTCTCTGAAAAATGTTTTTGCCTGCCTCAACACAAGTTTCTAACTGTTATTGTTGACTAAAAAATTTAAAATATTATCTTAATAATCATTTTACATTTTTTTCCAAGAAATCCTTTGGTGTTTTGCATATCCACTAGTACAAGGTAATTTTTAAGTTGAGAGGGTTTGATTTCATTAACTACATTTTTATACAGACACAAACTAACCTGGCAGGTTGATGTCCAAAAGTGTAAAAAATTACATGCAACTGTTTGGCAAACACTGATCACCGTGGCCAAAGGAAAGGCAAAAATAGAAATGTCACCATTTTCCTGACTTTATACATTCCCTTGGAAGCATATTTAGCCAGATGTAGTCCTTGTCAAAACATGCAAACTTGAAGATTTATTTTCTGAACTTAGCTAATCTTTTTTAAACCATAATCTTGTTCCAAGGGGTGGTGTGGTTTTTAAAATTTATAATTTTTCCCTCTTTTTTTGCAACAAAACACACTTGAATTAGGACTCAAACTGAAGGCAGTGTAGTAACTGCTGTCATGAAAAGAGAATTCCAAAGATTCATTTGTTAGAAACTACGGTAAAGTTTAAATTAAATCGCACGAAGAAAAGAACTTAAGCATATCAGCATGTGCAAGATCTCTTGGCAAAATTTATTTAGCTTCTAGTACATAAAGAAATACATGAACTTTTGACCATGCCACTCAATCATCCAACGCAACTCTGCCAGGATAAGTTCACAACCAAGGATGTAGAACTGAGAATCTCAATCATCATTTCTAGTCGTCTTAAAGGTGTAGTGAAGCCGTAAACAGCTCTTAGCTGAACTCTGACAACTCTCCTACTCAACCAAATGCCAGTCACCGCACTTTTTTTAATACCACGAAGAATTAATTTTGGGCCTTTCGATTGAAAATATAAGCTCTTCTACATACGTATTGGAGGGTTGGCCCTTCTTTTACTCTTGCAATTCGTGGGTCGTCTAAACAGAAACAAATCATCAAAAGGTCGGGCATCGAGAAACATGTTCACTGGTCTCGTTCCTACCGTAGTAAACCGAGCTGCATTTAATAACAAACGCAAGACCAGAAGAAAGGAAAACGTAAGCTCCACATTACCGCGGAACAAAACGAAGAAACCAATGACCAACGGGACCGAAAGCAACCAAAAGCAACTTCACTTCACACAGCCGAATCGCTGCGAAGAAGCTGCCAAGACGAACTTGTTGTTTTCCCAACCCGTTCCGCGCATGCTCGCTACAGTTTTCGGATGATTGACAGATTTCTTAACTGGGGCGATCATGGAAAGCCGAAAAGCGGCAAGATCAAAGGCCGTTGCCAGCCCCCCCTGTTGTCAAGTAATGCTTTAGTGAAATCAATTGCATGACAGTAGCGATCTATAGCCTAGTGATTGGTTGCATTAGGACCCAACTTTTTCCTGACTTCTTTCAGTAGTCGATTGAAAAACTCAAGGAGTAAATCAAGGGGAATGTTATGTCCCAAACCTGACTTAAGCAATGCAGTTCTGTTCCAAACAAGTTCATGGGCATGTTTTGGTGGAAGCAGTGCATAAACTTGAAGGATCATCC